TGCTTAGCACTTAAACAATTCTGGTTTTGCATTCTATATAATGTCATTCCTGATGTACTTTTGACCTGTTTATCAATGAGAACATAATCTTCTTCACTGTCACCCAGAGTAAAGTCTTTCCTTAAGGCTGACCCGTGTTTGCAATACAACATTATCTTTCAGTGACATATAAACAGAGTTTTAAGTTTAATGGAGGGAAAAGTCATAGTTCTGTTCAAAAGGATTGTGGAGAAAAAGTTTAATGGGGAAAAATATTACAAATAAAATACATTTTTTTTTCTTTTTTCTGTTCAACATAATTGGGAAAAGAAAATTTAACAGGTAAAGAATTAAAAAATATAAAAATTTTTAAATGGTTCTATTCAAAATGATTGCGAACAAAAAGTTTAATGGGAAAACAGTCAAAAATAAGAAGCTTTTAAAAATGAAAGCATGAAACAAAACGTTTTTACTCAAAGAATAAAATATTTAGAAAAATAAAATTCATGAAATAGACATTTACTAAAATTAACAATGTATAAAAATTTGAAGGAATAAAATAATTAACATGCCATTGTTTGCAGCAAAACTAACAAATTTGTACTGTTGCTATTGCCGTGGGAGAAAGATAATTATGAGCAAGTGGTTGACCTTATGTTCACTCACACACACTTTTGTATCAACCATCATGGTATAGTGCCTAATAAGCATATTATCAGCAGCAGCCCAGAAGGTATAAAAACAAGTCAACCCTTAAGTAACTCTCTCTTTTCCTATTTTGTCTCCTTTTAAAGTGTGTGCCATCAACTTTTCACACTGAAGCAAAAAGGCCAGTGAACTCTTCACACACAAATACACCTGCACAGGCAAGTCACACCCAAATACATTAAAAACTTTTGTTGTATATTACATTTATTTCTAGGTAAAGAACTCTTAAACTTGCCTTTTGTTATTTTTGTTAAATAAATGTTATCTTGTATTGCAGATCAATTGGTCTCTGTTATTTTGTGCATGTAGTATTTCATAATGATTATTTCATGTAGACTTTTCTCATAGAGATCTTCTACATTAATTATAGATGTAGCCAGCACACTAAAATGGCATAAAAAAGACAAGACATTTTGTGAATATTTGGCAATGGAATGGAGTTGAAATGGCTACAAGTAACTTGACCTTAAACATAATATCAGCAGCAGCTCTCAAATATAAAAAACATGTGAACTCTAAAGTAACTCTCTCTTCTTCTGGGGTTTCCTCTTTTGAACTGTGTGACATGAACTTTCCATGATGAAGCTAAAAGGGCTGTGAAAGCTTCATCCATAAAACACAGCAAGAAAGTAAGTTCCCACTATAACATATTAATGGACGTTTTGTTGTATATACAATTTACTTCTAACAAAAGAAACTCTTGTTTTAAACTTTACTTTTGTTAATTTTGTTTTAATAAATGTCATCTTTGCATTGCAAATCAATTGGTCAGTTATTTTGTGCATTTCCCCACCACTATTTCATGTCCTATAATATATTCCTGTAAGAAACCTTACATATTTAATTATTGAAGTAGCTAATTGCTCTCATACTTCTCATTTGTGCAACTCTTTTCTGACCTCTTGCTTTCCAGTCAACTTTGATTTTCAAAAGTTCAAATGTGATGTCAATCATTATCTTCTGTTTTCTTATATCCTGCTCTTTATTGTTCACTCTCCTTAATTATGTTTTTCTTTGTCACACTCAGTAACTCCTTGTATTATAGTGGCTTTATTGCCTTGCTGGAGGTGAAATGATAAAAAAAGGTTCTTTTTCTCATTAGAACTTCCTCATTTCCAACATACTCCATCCATGGTATTCTCAACATTTGTCAGTTAAACTTGTCAAGTTTTTTTTATTGATCTGTGAAGAATTTGTCTAGTATTCACTACCATGTTGAATATTACATAATAGTCAACCATTCCTTTGATTGTTTCTAAGAACATTCTTTCATCCCTTAATACCTTCCTTAGTTTCTGAAAAGCTTTTTTCACTATTTCTATGTGCCTTTAGATTTCTGTATCATACTTCTATCACCTGTTACTATCACCTTGGGATGTCTCTCTTGCTCACATGAATGCTTCTGTCTTAGCAAATAGTCCTTTCTTTGTGCTTTCATTGACTACCTTGTCTAATAGTTCTTTTTATTTTTTTTTCTGAATCTAACATCAAAAAACAATATATGATATACAATGAAATAAACATAAAAAATGCTTTAATATAGATTTCAGAGAAATGGTTGTATATTTTAAAGAGTATAAATGTATAGAAAGAAAAAGAAATGTCATCCATCTATTGATGGAAACGTGTTTTATCTGAGACTGTCTTAAATGTCCGCTTTCTTTAGTGGTCAAAATAAAAAGGAAATGAAAGTTTTGGTTTTTGCTACTTTTGGCAGCAAAACACTTGTTCTGATGCATCATGGGAATATTCTATATTTTATTTAACTTCTTTTATGATCTAGCATTCTCTTTTTTTTATTGTTAACTACCATTCTAATCTTGTATTTTAACATATTTTTTATTGCTTCACTCCCAATGTTCTGGATTATAGTCAAGGTGGAATATCCTGAGATCACCATAAAAACACTGAAAATCCTGCTTCCATTTCCAATATCCTATCTTTGTGAAGCAGTTTTTTTCTGCTGTGACAGCAACAAAATGAGACTACAGAGTAAACTAGAGATAAAGAACACAATTCAGGTGTCATTGTCTCCTATCATCCCAAAATGGGACTGTCTCATTGCAGGCAAACTCATTCACAGCTCGCCCTGATTCTGCATCATATTGAGTTGACTCACATTTACAGTATGAATATAATAATTAAATTAATAATAAAATTATATAATATGCACTTTATTGTTTATTGTGTTTTGTTATACTTGTGACCAAAATCCTCATCCACAGTCCATGAAAAAAATTAACTTGCATGACACCAGTCCGTGGTACAAAAAGGTTGAGGACCACTGTCTTATGCTATCTACAGATCCAAGCTTACAGCACCTGGTATTCCTAAGCAGTCACCCATTTAGGTAGTGATCAAGCTCGACATTGCTTAGCTTTGGTGATCATACAAGAATTTTCATTTCAATGGGATATGGCTGTAAGCTCCAAACATTGAATAATTAACAAAATTAACATTACTGATCAGTATCAAAGGTTCAAAGGTCAGCTTCTGTCATTCTTACACCAACCATAATTGCAAGTTCCAGAAATGTAATTTTTTATTATAAGAATTATTCCTCCACAGCTCTGGAAAAAGTAAGTTCATCTTACAACCAATTGATACTAAATTCAGTCCCCATTTTCATTTTTTTTAATTACTATCTCCCTTCAAAACATAGATGTTTCACCATAGACACTCTTTCTTTATTATCTGGGAATTATCATGACTACTTGGTAAAAGATACCTTCTTTACAGTTTTGAATTCACAGCAACCAAGGCTTGAAAACCTACTCTACTATTTAACCCATAGCTAGGAAAGATAGAGACAGAGAAGACTGATTCATGTCTTCCTCAAAGAGTTTTATGTAAAAGTGAAAGCAACAGATTCAGCCAGAATTTGAACTTGGCTTACTGATTCCACTTTCCACACTGATAAATTATAACCTCACATCTCTGACTGAATGCTCCATAAACATGACCTTATGTCAGACATAGCCTCATTCATGTCAGTATTTTGGGGATACCTTATTAGACAAGTAATTTTAAGCTTCCTAACTAGGAGAACATCTGCAATATATTTCCATTCAATCAAAATAATAAATGATATGAGTTCAAAGAGTTTTTGCCATGTTTTGGACTTATAAAATTCAAACTGTACCTTTGTGATGTTAATAATGATAAAGAGAAGTTTAATAAGTCTGTAAAGAATTAATTTTATTTCAATGGTGGAGAAATATTTTTCATACAATAGCAAACTATAGACAATTAAAAGTTCAAAAGTGACTGATCAATTTTATTAAAAAAAAAAAAGGAAAAATGCAAAACCAATGAAAACTGTTTTTCAAAAGATTCTTCCTTTTCATCTTAAACACTAAGAGATTAGCTTCACAAGAAAAGACTGGAATTACTTTATACAATTCCTTGCTTACTAGCAGAAACTAAACTAATCAATTGAAATTTTGAAGCCGTCTCTTTTTTCAAATTTTTAAAGTGAAATGGCCAATTTTCATCTTGTAATGAAATCTTATCATTCTTCATTTTCCCAGATTTATTTGAATATTTTTTGTTTTATAAATAATCTGTCTTTCTTTTTGTTCCATTTTAGTATCAAAAAATAACTTTAAAAAAGTACAACAAAAGTACAGCATTACATATAATGTACTTTATCTAAAAGTTTTGTAATCTTTTTCTCAATTACAACAAAATCCTGTCTCTAGTCTCATTGACTCATTCATTTTTTTTATTGTTGTTTTCTGCTTCTGTTCTTGTTTCTTTTTGAATTTCTAAAATGAAACAATAAAAAGTATACTAAATAATGACTCTTGTAAAATAAATTTTTCTTGTATTTTATGTTTCTTTTTTTCATGACTATTTCTTCATGCTTATATTTTTACCATTGAAAACTGATTAAAGAAAGCGAAACACAAGAGAATCTTTCGCAGACCTCATTCCATTCATCAAATATTACTAATAATGGATCCTTTTCATGGGGGGTCTTAATTTTCTATTTCCTCTTGCAGTGACAATCAACATGGTATTGTTCTATTCCTCATGAGACATGCACAATGACACACACCAATGCAATACCACAAAACAACAGTTTGCACGCTCTAAAATGAACACCCAACTTTCAAACCATTTTGTTCATTTGATAATTTATATTTTTATTTGCTGGGCTGCTGTTGGCCAACAAAAAAGATAAAACTTGAACACACATTCTTACTGGGAATGTAAATATGAGTGTTGTCCACTTTGGCTTCTATTGATTCCGTGAGTCTAAGTAATTTCCTCCAATTTTCTAGACTCTTTTTTACTCAGTCTGTCTGCAAATGTCATATTTAACTTTTGATGATTGTCACGATTCGTAAGGAAAGAAGCAGCATCAAGTTTTCTTTCTCTTCTTTTCTACAAGTTATACTTATTCTTTATCTCGTCTTTTCTCTGACTTTTTCTGTCTTCAGTTTTTCTCCCTTTCTTTCCCCACAATTTTCCCTTACTTTTTCTTCTTTTCTTTCTCACAATTTTCTTTTTGTGTTTTCTTTCTTTCTTTTCTTCAGTTTTCTGTTTTTTCTTTCTCCCAATTTTCTTTCCTTTTTTCTTTCTTTTTCCCAGTTTTCCTTTTTTCCTTTTCATACAATCTTCTTTCCTTCTTCAAATTTCTTTCTTTCTTTCTTTTTCTCAATTTTCCCTCTCCTTCCTTTCTCCCAATTTTCTTTCTTTTTGCTTTCTTTTCCCCACTTCCCCTTCTCCTCCTTTCACCCAGTTCCTTTTCTTTGTTTAAATTTCTTTCCTTTTTTTTATTTCCAATTTTCACTTAAATTTTTCTTCCTTTTTCTCACAATTTTTCTTTCTTTCTTTCTTTCTTTCTTTCTTTCTTTCTTTCTTTCTTTCTTTCTTTCTTTCTTTTGTCTTTCTTTCCTTCTTTCTTTCTTTCTTTCCCACTTTTTCTTCCCTTCTTTCTCCCAATTTCTTTGTTTGTTTCTTTCTTTCTTTTTCTTTCTTTCTTTCTTTCTTTCTTTCTTTCTTTCTAATTTTCACTTAATTTTTTTTTCCTTTCTTTCTCACAATTTCTTTCTTTCTTTTTCTCACAATTTCTTTCTTTCTTTCTTTCTTTCTTTCTTTCTTTTTCTTTCTTTCTTTCCAATTTTCGCTTAATTTTTTCTTCCTTTCTTTCTCACAATTTCTTTCTTTCTCTCTTTCTTCCATTCTTTCTTTTTTCTTTCTGTCTTTCTTTCTTTCCAATTTTCCCACTTTTCTTTCTTTCTTTCCAATTTTCACTTAATTTTTTCTTCCTTTCTTTCTCACAATTTCTTTCTCTCTTTCTTTCATTCTTCCTTTTTTCTTTCTTCTTTCTGTCCAATTTTCCCACTTTTCTTTCTTTCTTTCTTTCAATTTCTTCTTTTATTTTTCCTTTCCTTTATGCATTCTCTATTCTTCTTAATTCTTTAAATCCTTTTTGTTTCCTGTATTTTCTTTTCCTTCTTTTTGTATTCCTCCCAACACAAGTCCTCAAATGATTATTGTGATCTTTTCATTTTACAAACTCCTCCTTCTCCTCTTCCTCTTCTTTTTAAGTTTCATTATATCTATTTCCTCTTCTTGTCTACTTGTTCTTCCTTCTCTTTCTTTTTTTCTCTCTTTTTTCTTCACTGTCTTTTTTAGTCTTTTTACTTTTTTCTCTTTCTTTCGTCCAATATTGATAGTGAGTCTTAAGCCCTATGAATATTAAATTTTCCAGACCTTCCTTCCTCGTTAAGTGTCACAGAATTTTCAACTGTTTCTGGTTTTAATTATGAGTTTCTTTCTAGTTCCCATTTTTTATAACTTTCTCATTGCTCACATACACTGTTTATAGTATTCACAGTATCCATCTGTAGAACTACATCTCTGTCATTTCAATATAAAGTGTATCTAATTTTTTTTTTTTTTTTTACAATGAGGTTCACCCTTTACAAGGTTCAGGGGCCACTGTGGAGGTTATTTGTGTATATAGGAGTGGAAGATAACAGTTAAACTTAGCTTTGAACAGATTAAGATTGTGGTGTTTGGGGAAAACACCCAGTTGGGAGTCAGTTCCACAGGGCAGTGGTTCACAGGAAAAAGCTGCTCAAGTGGAACCTTCTTCTCACCGGGGAATATAAGTGGCTTGATATTATGTAAGTAGCATGGTGTATTCTTATTGAGGTTTGCCAAAGTTGTTTGCTTGTAAACAAAAATGTTTTAATAATTTGCATTAGAAAATGTCTTGATGGGTGTTATGGTCCAGATTCAGACCAAGGAAGAACAACACAAAAACAAGAGTAGAAATAACAAAGGTATATTACACGAAATAATAATACAAGATGTGGAAGGTGTTAGTATGACTGTCAGTCTGGTTTGGAGTGAACAACTATCGGCTCAACTTGATTCGACCCTCTCTCTTGAGAGGCGTAGTACACATAGTGTTAGGAAGAGTTCATTCTGTAGTTATAGGTAAGGACCCATGACAATGGGAAACATATCAAGTTTAAAAAACAACTAAAATGGACTTTTGTTCCATATTTAATAAAGAACAAATGTTTTTTTAAAACAAATTTCAAAACAAAGGATGCACATAACCCAAATAGTGAACAAACAAGTCAAAAGGCAAACCATGTTTAGATAATAAGTGCTGGAAAGAAACTGATAATTTCTTAAATGATAGGAGACTGCAGCAAGGTATACCTATACATTACTTCATTCATGTAACTTCAGTATGGTGCTATGAATGCAGAAAATTTAACTTTTATGTGGTTATTATTTGTATCATTGTTATTTTTTTATTTTTATACTGTTATCGTTGTCAATGGCGTCTTTATCTCATATCCAAGAATTTAATTGCTTCTTTTATGATGATGGCATTGTTGACTAAATAGAACAATTCTTGTATGGAAGATCCAATGTTATTGACTGAATAGTAATTTTTGTGGAGGGCAAGTTTGATTTTGTTGAGACTGTTTCTTTTCATTTGACTTCTTCCTTTTCTCTTTTGGTGGTTTCAAAGTTTTTGGTTCCGATGGTGATGAAATATTACCAGTCGGTACAGCCTTGTGCGTGTATTTCAAATGATTTAGGTATATATATATATATATATATATATATATATATATTTGGTAGGATTGATGTGAGTTTGTGACCCTGGGTTTCACGTTTGTGATGATTGCAAAAGCATGAAACCCTGGGTCACAAACTAATGTATGTATGTATGTATATATATATATATATATATATATATATATATATATAAGAAACAAATGATAATGTATGCATTACCAAAATGTATACATAGATAATAATATAAGATTGTTGCGTGTGACAAAAACACTAAATATGAAAGAAGAAACCATTTAAACTAGAGAATGTGATTTGTATGTATGAAGTTTGAGTAAGAGAAAGTCCTAGAGAAAAGTAAATGAAAGTGAAAGTGAAAGGTGCATGTGTGCCCTGGTGGGGGATGCTTTTCTCCATATGTGACCTACATCTTACTGTCACTGAGAAAAATAGGAAAGAGAGAATGACAGAGAATGTCACTGTCTATTTAAGGGAAACACACGGATGTAGTTGTAGACATCTGTGACAAGCGAGAGTAGAGTCAGTAATTGCCAGCATTCTGGTATATTTGTCTTTGTTTTAAAATTTGTTTTGAATAAAAAGTGGCATGTGTGTGACTTAGACAAAAATTGGTGTATAGTTAGCGATATATGTTTTCTAATAATTGTATAAATTTGGCTTTAATTTGTTATCTCTATGTATAAATTGTGTTTTCCCATTACAAGTGAAGAAAGCAAAATGAAAATTATCTACATTTGCACACAAAAGTATTGGACATAGAAAAAATCTAACAGCCTTTTTAAGAACAAAAAAATGTCTAATGTGCCTAAAAATTGAGTTGAACATTGTAAATACTTAAGGTATATAGCTAAACAGAAATAATGAATTTTTAACATCTGGTAAAATTCTTACTTGCTTTTAAGCTGATAACCTCACTTCAAACTTCTACTTGTGTAGATATACACACACACACACATAGTGACAAACAAAAGTATTGCACACATACAAATTTTTAAAGTTTTTTAAGGAAAACAATTTTTAAAGGGTGTCAAGTCAGAAATAAGGATTTTTTTTTCTCTGCACAAATTTATTAGGAAAGTTAACCAAAAAACTACAAAACAAAAGTATTGGGCAGACATCTATAAACTGCATTCAACGTTTAATACTGTGTGTTTATTTGCTATAACATTAATCGGACGTTAACGATAATTTGGAATAAATTTCTTGTTGAAATTAGATCCAATTTTATTGCACTCATGTTGGGAAATCTCCTTAAGATTGTTCAAGTTATGGACTTTCTTTTTGTGGTGTTTCTTCTGGTGGACACTAATTTGAAACACTTTCTTGTCATGGACTCTAATTTGAAACACTTCCTTCTTGGGGACTCTAATTTGAAACACTTTCTTGTCATGGACTATAATTTGAAACACTTCCTTCTTGGGGATTCTAATTTGAAACATTTCCTTCTTGGGGAATCTAATTTGAAACACTTTCTTGTCATGGACTCTAATTTGAAACACTTTCTTGTCATGGACTCTAATTTGAAACACTTTCTTGTCATGGACTCTAATTTGAAACACTTTTCTTGTCATGGACTCTAATATGAAACACTTTTCTTGTCATGGACTCTAATTTGAAACACTTTCTTGTCATGGACTCTAATTTGAAACACTTTCTTGTCATGGACTCTAATTTGAAACACTTTCTTGTCATGGACTCTAATATGAAACACTTTCTTGTCATGGACTCTAATTTGAAACACTTTCTTGTCATGGACTCTAATTTGAAACACTTTCTTGTCATGGACTCTAATTTGAAACACTTTCTTGTCATGGACTCTAATATGAAACACTTTCTTGTCATGGACTCTAATTTGAAACACTTTCTTGTCATGGACTCTAATTTGAAACACTTTCTTGTCATGGACTCTAATATGAAACACTTTCTTGTCATGGACTCTAATTTGAAACACTTTCTTGTCATGGACTCTAATTTGAAACACTTTCTTGTCATGGACTCTAATATGAAACACTTTCTTGTCATGGACTCTAATTTGAAACACTTTCTTGTCATGGACTCTAATTTGAAACACTTTCTTGTCATGGACTCTAATATGAAACACTTTCTTGTCATGGACTCTAATTTGAAACACTTTCTTGTCATGGACTCTAATATGAAACACTTTCTTGTCATGGACTCTAATTTGAAACACTTTCTTGTCATGGACTCTAATTTGAAACACTTTCTTGTCATGGACTCTAATTTGAATCTCCTTCCATGAACATTAGTTGATGATTAGGTAACGGATATAGAACAACGATGATGCACACACTCGTTGATTTTTAGATAGTAAGCATAGAAGACAATACATCCTCAGTATGCATGTATTGTCTAGATATAGGGGAGAGACACACACATATACTGATTTTTAGGTAGTAGACAAAGAAGTGAGTGAATAGACACACACAAATTGATTCTTAGATACAAAGGACAGTGGATATACATGCAAACAACTCTGTTCTTAGTATATATTGAGGAGATTTGATATACAGCCTCATTAATTCTTGTATATTAGATATAGAAGACAATGAAAAGACACACTTGTTGATTCTTAGTAGACAGAGAGGACCAAGTATTCTCCTGCACTCATTGATTCTTAGTAAATAAAGTGGACAGTCGATCCACATGCTTTGTTCTTAGTAGATTTAGTTTATATTTGATAGACACACTTGTTGATTCTTGCATATTAAACAACAGACAGCAATATCTGCACACACACACACATTCATTTTTTGACAGTAGATATAGAGTACAGTGTTTCAGTTTGTCTGCATAAGACTCAGCATTGGCAATCTCTCTTGTATAGATTTAATCATAAATGATTAAATAAAAAATGTGTTACTATTAATTATAGTTTTAATTAATTTTTCTCTTTTCTTTTTAATATTAGCACATCAATAGCAAATTTTATGGCACTTTTGAGACATCCAACATTGTTGCATGACTGAAAGAAATTTTGAATATCAATTAGTTTCTTTCTTATCTGCATCACATAGAGATTCCTTGGAGCTGTAACCGTTGAGATT